GCCGCCGCCATCCACGCCGTCCACGCCGCGAAGGGCGCCCTCGCTCACCGCGATTTGGCCCCCGTCGTTGCCCTCGCCCCGGCGAGGGCCCGCCTCGCACAGGCGGTGGAGGCCATCGATACCGCCCTGAGGGATGAATTTCGCAACGCACTGCGCGCCGGCGAACCGCAGGAGGAGACCCTCAGAGAGGTCGTCGAGTTGGTCGCGCTCATGGGCAGGCTCCCGTTGTTGAGAGGCTTCTTCTTGAAGGAGATTAAGACAGAGCTGGCCAAGGAACTCAAGGTCGTCGACGCCTTGTATGCAGCGTGTAACGAGGTCAAGATTAGCGCGGAGCAAGCGCTTACGTTGATAACAATTATTCGAAATTATCGCCAAGCTGATGCGGACGAGGAGGAGGACGTCAGTGCACTCTTGCGAGACGTCCATGACGATTTTGAAGAGATGCTCGCCTCTGCAGTAGATCGTTTCCTTGGCTCGTTCAAGATGTCGCACGAGACCGGCTTGAGTGCTGGTTTTGTCGTCATTACGCCTATGGAATTGCTGACGGAGCAGACCTGCTTTGATGAGTTCAAGGCCGCTCTGAAGTTTGGGGAACAAGTTCGTAGTTTGGAGGAAGCCGCCACACAACTCGAGGCCATGTTTTCGTTGGAGAAGAGGAGCAGCTTGCTTCGTGCGAAAATCTCGGAACGCCATAATGCCTTTCTCTCCTCGTTTCACAGGGCCCATATCGAGACGCTCACACGAACAGTCAAAGCTGACAAATGGCAGGAAACTCGTTCACCGAAAGGAGCATTGCGTCTTTTGGCCTCTCTAGTGGATGACGGCTCTGGAAAAGAAGATGCGCAGCTACACGAGAGCGGGAACAGAATAGAGCAGGCACCAAACGGCGTGCTAGCACCCCAGCCTCGTGACGGACTTGATGGAACTGTTGTGATTGGGGAAGCGACATTTAAGACGGTTACCTCAGGTATACGCTATTTGCGATCCGTTTGCGCATACACGCTCCTTGCAGAGAAGTCACCACGGCTGGCGTCTGAGATCGCACGAAAAGCTACGGAGTTTTCACGGCTCTTCAATTCTCTTGTCGGAAAGGCAATTCTTGGTGCAGCAGCGCTACAATGGTCTGGTTTGCGATCCATCACCGCTCGACATTTGTCTCTGGCCTCGCGAACAGTTGCCATGGCTGCTGCATTGGCAGACCGCATCGACAAACCCCTCGCCAAAGCACTATCGGCGTCCCAAGTTGGTGTAGTACTTCCTCTCATTCAGAGGGCGGAGAAAGACTTGCGAGACCATCACGGCCAACTGCTCGCAAAGATATTGACGATTATGATGGACCGCCTAGAGGCGCACGAGGCCGTGCTGAAGTCACTTCCATGGGAAAAGTTTATGGAAATGAAGCGCTTTGATATGCCTAGTGCATATATCACAACGCTTGTCAAAGAAGCGACTGTGTTGCATCGCATATTGTGGTCAATTTTACCAACGACGGAGGTTTGCGACATATTCACACGTGTTTGTGCTGCGTACGGTAGTCACTTAACAGAAGCGTATAGCTCACTGGATGGCGGGAAAGAGTGGGTCCGGTCTCGCGTTGCGGAAGACGTTTCTTGTATGCATGACCGCCTGTTGCTGCTGGACGTTTTTAAAACAAATCCCGACGCATTCGGACCAGTCCGCAAACTCTACACCCGCTTCGCGAAAGAGCTCCAAGAATCAGCACCAAACAAGCAAGGAAACAGTAAGACTGGACGATCGTTTATTCGTTCACAACAAGACCAAACTGATAAGCCTTCCGCTGTGAAGCTTTTAAAGCCTGCAGACCGGACCACGGATGCGACCGAAGAAGCTGCCAATCAGCCAAAACATCCACTCTCGTCTAAGGATAACGCAAACTCTGGAGACTTTCTCACGCCTGCAAAACCTCAAGATGTGAGTAAGGCAAGCGTAAAAACCGAAGACGCTAGGGAAAGTCCCGGAAAAGCTGGAATAGCAGATGGTTCCATACCTGATGCACGGGCCGAAGAAAAAGTAGAAGATGACAAGTTACAGGCACGAAACGAGGAATCAGAAAACAGTAGTACCAGTGCTGTTGCGGAGCCAGCAAATAATTCCTCACCTGATGCAGGTGTCGAAGAAAAGGTACACCATAAAGAATCACAGGCAAGAAACGAGGATTTAGGAAACATCAGCAACGGCGTTGCGGAACCAGCTAAAATATCTAATCTGTTGGATTCCGAGGTACAGAGTGAGGACAAGGGCATGGTCGCGGGTGAGCAGTTCGGCTCTGACGATGAAACCCAGACAACGTGCGCGTCTATTGTCGTAGATGAAAAACCACTTCCTCAATCTGCGGGCTCGCCTTCGCAACATGTCGCGGAAAGTCGTGCTCCGTATGACGAGTCTGAATCCAAGTCCAGGACTACAACTCTGTCGGCAGAGCAACGGCAGCTAAACGAGGTAATGGGACTGCCTGATGGGGGTGTCTCTGATGAAACCAAGATGGAAACTAGAGAGCAAGAAGACGTTACTGAATTAACGACTAACGATACAAAGATCGTCTCTAATGGCCGGCCTTTAGAACCGTCTCCCGCACAAGTTCCTGAAGGGGACCTACTTGGCCTCGGAGACGATGATCCAAACACGGCGGGGCGATAGCAGCAACTGGTCTCTTGCACTCTGTATTCCAGCGCAAGGGTCTTTACATGCTGCTATCCCTTATCCACACGATATTAGCACGTCAAGAAAAGAAGTAGCATAGACTGACTTTATCCATGTATATATTAGCACTCTGTTCGGTAAAGAGTGGCTCTAACATCCTGTTCTGTACCGTCTTCTCGGCCAGATTGAGAGAGAACTGCGGTTCGGTCAGCCCGTACATTCTGATTCCGCATCAGGGTGTGAGGGACAAATGATTTTGGCAGAGCTAATCGGACATCTCCTGCCTGCCTATGATTGAGAACCAGTAACTCCAAGTAACCAGAAGTGAGGAGTACTCTCTGCAACGGGACTCCGGGGAACTCAGTCCTTTGTTCTTGCCGCCTTCTTTCTTCATGACCGTTCCCGCGGTTTACGTTCTGCTTTAGAGACTTTCCGATTGCCACAAATTTCACACTGGCCAATAACTGACGCGCATGGATGGCACGAGTTGGGTCGTTGCCTGTATTGTACACTCACGCTCGAAACCAAAAACAGCAGACACGCACACAATACGGAATGCAAGCAGGAGGCGATTTCGTTGTCGTGACAAAAAAACCATGAAGCTCTATACGCTATACCGACATTGAACCATAATGCAGCTGGGTAGGAGGAGGGGGTAAATTCGGGACCTCTCGTTTGCACAGCGGGCAGCAGTTAGAACTAGATTGTAACCAAGGGTCAATACACACGCGATGGTATAGATGTCCGCACGCCAGAAACCGAACTTGTTGCCCGGTTTCAAAGTTATCCAAACAGACCGCGCAAACAGATTCCTCTTCTTCCCCATCACGCTCGTCTTCAAACGCCGTCGACGCAGAGGAGGGGGTAGGGCCAGCCGAGGAAGACGCGGCCACGGATTCGCCGTCTGATGAAGCGATGAGCCCTGCGCGTTCTGGGTCGTGATCCAGGATGGGTGATGTCGGCGCTGGGCCGGCCACTTTCGGGGCGGGGATGGACTCTGTGACACACTGGTCGGTGTGCGACGACTCCTCGGCAACGCTGGTGTCGTCGTCATGCATGTTCTCAGGTCGCGAATAAGTCTCAACAGGAAGGGCAGCAATGGCATCGGCACGCGCACGGAATTCTGACATGCGGCGCTTATATCGGACGACGTTCACTCCGCACTGGCACAGAATCCAAAGGGCCATGCCACGCATCATAGTCCAATTCAGTGCGTCGCGTCCGAAATCAATGTCGAAGGAAGCCTCGCCTTCAGCCGTGAATGCGACTTTAGTGTCGTTTCTGCACGGGAGGATGGTATTCCAGTCGTGGTGGCTTATCATGACGGCTGGAATGGTAACCTGTGTGGAGAGTTCCTTCGTGTCGTTGACCTTCATATTGGCCAGCTTGTCCGCATCCTTGCGGTTGACTACGATGACGCCGACAGCGCCTGCGTCCTGCATGAGAATGACCTTTTGCGTGAAGTCGCAATTGCCACGCGCCACCACCGCAACTCGGCCCTTCATGGCAGTAATGTCGGCAGCTACTGACAGACGGGTGCAGGCGTCGAAGAGCGCAAACGCCTGCGAAGCTGTACGATTCGGACTAGAATGATTTTCATCAGCAGGCTCGTCCCCCTCGCGCGGCACATCCGCCGGCTTCGCAACGGCATCGTCAGTGCGATCGGCATCACCCTGCGGCTGAAGAAGAGAGTTGCTCTCACGCACGCGCGGCAGAGTTGCTGTCGTGAAAGTGGCGGGTTCCCTCTCCCCCTCGGCGGTATCAGTCTCCCCTGGGGGATGGGCAGCATCTCCGGCGGCAACGGTATCGACGACGCCGCCGACGCCCATGCCCGCGTCCCTCGCGTAGGTGCCACTAGTGGCCAAGTTTTCCAGGTGCTTCTGCACGGCCTTGCGTGCGTTGCGCACGACGCCGAGAATCCTCTTGAGCTTTCTCGCGCGGCGTCCCTTTGCGGTGCGCCTCAAGCTCCTCGGGGCGTGGGTGACGAGGTGGCGGACGTAAAAGCCGGCCTTCTGGGCGCGGGGCGCGAACAGAGCGACGTCGCGCACGGCCGAGTTGCCCGGCTTGGGGCCGAAGAAGGCGGAGGCATGCGTGACGACGTGCGTGCCGCCGCAGCGCTCTGGGGCGGAGAGGATGAGCGCGAGGACGGGCGTGAGGAAGGGGAGCAGCAGCAGCGCCTGCGCGCCGCTCGGCGGGCGCATGGGCGCGGTGGCGAGCAGCACGGAAGGGGGGGGGGGGGGGGGGGGAAAAGGCGGGAGGAGGTGCAAGCCGGGGCGCGGCCGGGGGTTTCTTCCCGGGTCGTTGCGTCGGGGGTGTGCGTCACGAGGGGTGGCGGCGCGAGTGGGGACCGGGCGAGAGGCTGCGGCAGAGCGATGGGTTGAGATTGGGAGACGAAAAGCGACTGCCGTGTCTTAGTGTAAGTCGGGATGCAACCGCTGTAAGTGGGTTTCCAATGCACACAATTCCATGTGGACAAAACTGCACACGTGTGCATGCTGCCTAGTCGATAAACGACGGTACTGACAGCGGGTTAACTGTAAGTTGTGTGAGGTCCACCTGGTACAGGGACGCCGATTAGTGCACCCCTAGCTTGACCGGAACACGAAAAACGGCACGTGCCACATCTGTTACTCTTGTTACAGTATGCTCCCGTCCCTCTTGCTACCAAGGTGCCTAAACAGCCGAGCACCTGTCGCAATCATTAATCGTTAGAGATACTGCTGCATTTAGGGAGGCGATCAGGTGCATTTTTGCAGTGATCGTTATGGCTCCGCTCTCTTCTAGAGGAAGACAAAAACCACGTGTAGGCGCCTGACTGAGCGCGGAAGCTCGGAATCACCGATCTGGGCTCGAACCGAATGTCGTTGAGATCGCAGAAATCGCTTGGAGAACTGGCAAGTTTGGCTGCGGACTGCCAGGCGTGCGACGCTTTGTCGCATTTTAGGTCGGCACAACGGGCGTTTCTAACTGCCAAACACACGACAGACAACAGACGCGGAGCAGGCAAACGTCTACTACTGTACCAAGTGTACGGCAATCGATATAACGCAGTTACGGATTAATGCCGTTTCCGAATAGTGCCGGTTTTATGGCTTCCGGCACTAATGGGTAGGGTCCCCTGCCCACACCGCTCAAGACTCATCAGCCTCGTGTCCCACAACACTCTTATTTTAACATGAGCACGTGACTGTACGGATAGATATGGGTCATGAGCCATGACGCAACCATACTGCAATTGTATCACGATACTGTGCATGCAAGGACGCAAATCAGTGAGCTGTGTAATCCAGTGTGGCAAAAACAGCAGAAAGAGGAAGAGGAAAGCGGAGTATCAAGGTTTCGAGTGCTTTTTCTGAACTACACTCACGGGTTTCTTCTCCGTTTCAGGTGCGGCGCCCTTATTCCATCTTTCTTCAATGCACCTTATACATTTCTTAGTAGACGGATGGATTCGTCTAGTCTCCGTGCTCTTCTTCTTCAACTTGCTAAATAACAACGGCGGCCATTACTTATTCCTGCGCCATAATGAAATAATAATTTAGAGGGTTGTACAATTTTAGAAAGACAAGTTGATTTCGCAGAAACTTCGGACTGGCGCAGGCTCAACGATGTGGATTCTTCTTTGTTTTCGCAGGAGATCGGTCAATGGTCGCTCTATTTTACATCAACCGGGGCACGACCCGGATGCGTGTATCGCCGCGCCGTATCACAGGTGAGCAGTGACGGCTGATTAAAGGCACGTTTCTGGGAAGGTACAGTATTCTCCTACACGTCACGCGCCAGCAACACAGGTGTGTGTGTCCCAGGTCACGGACGTTGTTGCATCAAAAGGATGCCTTCCGCCATGCTCTATCTTACTCTAGAGTACACCTGGACGAGTGTGCGACGTGTGGGCGGGCAATCGGGGTATTGGGGGAGAAATCGGGAGGCGCATGGTGATCGGAAGGGTGGGAGGGAAGTGGGATGCGGCAGGGGAAGTAGGAGCAAAGTTGCGGATCGGAGGCGTGCGGACGAGGGGCCGCTTGGGCGGGGAGGGCCCTCTTGGGCGGGGCCTGGGACGGAGGGGGTTGGGGCGTAGCGAATGGATGTAGGGCGGCGCATGGGCGCGGTGGCGAGCGGCACGGAAGGGGTTGGGTTGGGTGGTGGTAGGGGACGGAAGAGTGATTCGGAAGAGTGGTTCGGAGCGGGGGACGACATCGAGGGACTAGGACGCAGCAGGCGGACTCCTGTGCAAGTCGAGTGGACTCTCGGGCAGGCCGCGCAAGCTGTTGGAGAGGAATTGAACGGGTTTTGAATGAAAAGTAGCACGGGTGACGACAGTGTCGTACTGTAGCACAGCTCGTGGTAGATGTTCTCTTGTGAGCGGAATTTGTCGGACGGGCGTCCGACTAGAAAAGGTGCAATTAATGTACCCTTCGGAGTCCGAAGGGTACATGTTGCTGAACATCCGAAGTTTAGGAGGGTATCGGAAGGTGGTCTTCTGTCCGAGCAGTAGTGTTCGAAAATTCACTCTTTTCCGTGTAATGAAGCAAAAGCTCCATTGCGGGCGTGGGCGCAAATGGCGAGCAGCGAGGCTGCTTGGAGACTCCAAGGTCGCCCAACCCCAACCTCCACTCCAAGTTGGAGTGCTCCAAGTTGGAGTGCTCCAAGTTGGAGTGGAGGTTGGGGTTGGGCGACCTAAGGGTCCGCGACAACCCCCTGGGGTGCAGTAGGGAGGTAGGTAGAGAAGAGGGGTCATGGGGCGCAAATGACGGCGCTGCGGTTAGGTTTAGTTGGAGTGTGATTGATGCGGTTGACGGAATTGGTCTTGTAGGCGACTTACTGTACCAACGGTACCAACGGTACAGTACATGGACATTTAGAGGGTGTAGCTAGGCGCACAAGCGTCGTAGTGTCTAGATGAGCTGGGCGTGCCGCAGAGGAAGGATGAGTTGGAGGAGCAGAAGTCGGGCGACGTGAAGCGGTTGCTTGATGCGCTGGCACGTCGGATCAAGAAGGCGTTGAGCGCCCAGGGTAAACTTTACAGTATTGAGTCAATACTGTAATGTTATATACGTTGTCACCAAGTTGTCATCATGTCAATACTATATTACAGTATTAGAGAGTTTACCCTCCCTGATGGTGTCATTTGGGCCACTTAAGCCACATTTAAGTACTTTTTATTGAAGGAACGGTCCTTTCTCAAACACCATGCCTCTATCATATTCCACGTTCAGCGCCAAGCACGTTCATACCCGTTTCACCAACCATAAGGCAGTTTTTGGCCACATATGCGCTATGCAATGACGTCAAACTGAACCTCGCCGTCGCTCCAAAATGGACAATTTTGGGACATCACGCAACTCCTGGTTCCATTCATTGCCTCGTGTACCACATCCCAAACCAGCGTTGCAGCAAACTGGAAACTGCTGATTTTGGCTACCCCCGGACGTGGACAACCGCTATGGCTTCTGTGAGAGCTTATTGCCAAGCCTCTTCGTGTTTCTGCACCAACCTTGCGGCCGAGACGAAGCGACCACGCCCTCCGACGCTGTTGTTGACGGCAGATATCATCAGCACGCCGCAACCGCGATCTACGTTGGGATTCACGGACATCCCTGGCGTTCTCAGCATTTATCCGCCGCTTTTTTGTAGCAAGATCTCTTGCAGCTCTCTTTTCTTACCTCTTGCGTTTGCGACCTTCTTTCTGTAGCTTCTGATTTTCTACACGCGTCTCTCGAGCTATATGTTCATCCTCACGCCTTAATCTCCGATGTTCTTTCTCTTGCGCCTGCACCTCGAGCCGAACCTTCCGTTTCGGAATCATTTCTGCATGCGTCACCCACTGTCCCGGAGCCGCAGAGTCGTACAATATCCGGTTGTTAGCACTGGCCACGGTTGATGCGGTTGATTCTCGCTCGGAGCAGGACACACTGCCCCGAACAATTGCGCTAACTGTCTCACTCATCTGCAAAAGGTTCGTTAATTGCTCTAGTTTTCGTGATGCGCCCTCATGACCGCGAGGAATGTTCTCAATTTCTGACAGCGTGTCTGCGTCTGCCCTGCGTTGTCTTACACTACGGATGCGAGAAGCGATACCCGCCGCCCTTATTCGTTTTAAATCCTCCTCCGCTGGCTCTTGGTCCACTTCCTCCTTTGTTTTAAAGTTAAGAGCAAAGTTTCGCTGAAAAGGAAAAAGACCTGTTGACCGAAAGGAGTCGGTGACATCCTGCCTGGGAATATTTTCCCACGCAAACACAGCACAGGCTATGTTAAAATTTACCCTTGTCGTGTCCACCTTTCCTTGTCTGCAAAATTCATCTCGCACTTCTCTCATAAGCTCATTAAAGCGTTTGTTAATTTTTTGATCGCACGGTTGGAGGAAGTGCGATGTACTTGCTGAGTTGACAACAGCTTCAATATTTCGTGATGCACATTCCTCCAACCAAGCTACATCTTTCCT